TGCTCACTATTGTCCTAATATATTATCAAGATTATCCATGCCAAGTTTCAAGCCTTGTAGAGGAAGTTTGCTCGGTCAATTGCTCAAAGGCCTGAAAATCGACTATGCTAGGGCAAAAGTCAACTGTGGCCCACATACAGTCAAACTTCAATATTTTTGGTCACCATTCTCATTTTGAAGTATTGTTCATCATTTGATCAAGGGTTGATCATGATTCCTCAAGGATTGCTCACAATTCATCAAAACCCAAAAGTTGCTAAATTAGGGTTTTGTAGGAAAAGTCAACTCAACTTTGACCAAGCATAACTTTCTCATACTTTATCAAAAATGACCCATCCAAAGCTCATTTTGAAGAGGATGTAATTCCATATAATTCATCTTCATCTCCCAAGTTCAAAACATGCACTCACAAGAAGATATGAATTTGGACATTATGGGTCATTTTGGAAAGTCAACAAAAACACCTTTTGGGTCAAAGCTTCACACATGAACATGGAAGACTCAATTGAGATGATACCAAAAAGGTTTCTTAGAGGACATCTTAAGCTTTCTAAAAAGTCCAAGAACACATCTCTATGGTCAAAATTGAGAGAGTTATGCATTGGCCAAGTTGAACCTTTTTGCAAAATTGCCAAAAGTCAAATGTGTCCAAAATTGTATTTTTTGCCAAATGGGCCCAACTTTTTATGCTTGCGCTGAGTTTGTAATGTGACCCACGACCCATGAGCCCTTCCACTTCTCATTCTTTTATTTTTGTTATTTATTTTGATTTTATTTCATTTAAATCAAATAAAATCAATATAAAATAATGAAAATATCAAAAACTAATTAAATCTTGAGATTTTATGCATGATTAGGTTCATTATACAGCTGGAGACAAGATAAAATCGTGCAAGGCTTTATATGAACAAAAAAGATTGGATTTGCTTGATTTGGAAAGATTTGGTGCAAGGATTGAATCATGAATCAATATTCATAATTGGTAGAGATTTGATACAAAATTGCAACCCTAATACACTCTAGTATACATAAGGAACACGTGCAGATCAAAAAAGAGAGGCTAGAGGCGTGCAAAGGCAAAGAACAAATTGCAAAAATTCAAGAAAAAAAGTGCAAACTGATTTCCAGGTTTCAAGCCATCTCAAGCCATTCTAATCATACCAATCAATTGTTGGACTCCCCAGGATCGTGTTTCAATCGCTAGCAAACTTCCCCACGCCTTGAGACGCCCTGTAAGAGTCACACAATTTGCATATTTTCTTGAGTTCGAATATCTTGATTCTGGCATATTTAGCATGATTAATTGGCATATTTATAATCCTTGAGATGTTTGCAAGCTAATGGTTATATTTAATTGCATTTTTGTTGACTGAACATGAAACTGCCATGGCTAGGGTTCTTTCTTTGTTTTTAGGGGTTTCTTGTACAGGGAAAATTGGTCAGTGATAATGGTACCATGATGCTCGTGGGCTTGAAATGAGTTGATTGGTACCATTGGTTTTCATTTATCATGCGTGTATGAGATTTTGGAATGAACAAGGGTTGTAGTTACACTCAAATGTCCGTAGGTAAAAACCTCTAGGGCTAACACGACGGTGGGAGGAAGAAGATGGTCACGTGGCGCTCCCTGACTTTCCAGTTTGAATTTCGCGTGTTTTAAGGACTCATATTTGTTTGTATTATATAATAATTGTTTGTTATTATAATGACAACTAATCATTCTGGCTCAGCTGGCAGCGTGGGAAGGGGATAATGCTCAAGGACCTGGGTTCGATCGCCAGGTCCCAACATTTTCTTCATATTGTTTTTCTTTACATGATCAGGTGCGCTAGTATCCCATGAGTCCACCATGCATCATCATCATCCAACCATCAGATCATCAATGCCCTAGATCCAAGGCTATCCAATGAAGGTCCACCATGCGCCTGGGTCAAGCAAGCACATGGGATTGGAAAAAGTCAAAGGGGCCAAGAGCTTGTTGGGCTCAGAATTGCAAACTGCACCCCCTTGCTAAAACAACATCAGGCCCATTTGTCTTTCTTTTTCTATGTATTTCTTTTATTTGTTTAATTTGCTTAATTGTTTTTTAAAAAAATTAATTTCTTTTTCATAAAATCATAAAATCAAGAGTTTCACAAAAAAAGATTAGATTTAGGTTTTATTTTATCAAATTTAATTTAATATTAGTTTAATTTAATCTAGGGTAATTCTAACTTTTTTTTATATAATTAAAATCAATTAGAAAAATTAGGGTTAGACTCTTGATTTAATTTTTATTTCTTTTCTCAAAATAAAAAAATAAAAAAAGGTTAATTTAGTTATTTTTCTTAAATCACAATTAATTAGTAATTAGGTTTTTTTATTATTCAATAGAACTTTATTTTCTCAAATAACACAAAAAACGACAAATAAAAATGATTTTCCTTTTAGGTTACAATTAGGCATAGATGGGGTCAAAACCCTAATTCTCTTGTTTTCAATTCATCACGCGCGTTTATATTTTTTGCAATGTTAATGTAACTGTCTACAGTATGTAATAGCTTAATCTAGGATTTTCTTTATTTATCGTCTTTTACGGGGTTTTTTTGGCTATGTAATTAATCCCTACCCCGAAGCCTTGTAATAGCGTAGGTTTTATTTCCCGCATTTTAATTCACGTAAATATTAACTGTTTAGAGGTATGTTAATAGGATTGTATGACAAGACTGCATGATGATTTAAAACGGCTAGAAAACCCTAATGTGCAAATATAATAACTGAAATCAAATCACTCGCACATGCGCACTCCTAGGGTATACTCTCACTTCGGTTGCTTTCGGTAAACGATCATTAAGTATAGGGTGTCTTAGTGGTTTCCCTCCTGTCTAAACAAAGATCAAAAGTCCCGTTCAGAAATGTTGCCTCGAAAACATCGCCTCGGAAATGTTACCTCGAATATGATCTTAAGACTCTAGGGTTATTACTAAGACGTCCTAACATTGCTTTAGTGATCATACGTCCCTTTCGAATTAACCCTTACAATTCCAACGACGGTGCTACCTATTTCTCAATAGTAGGATGGCACTGTCTAAAGGAAACGGAATAGAAACAATCCTTTTTTGAGTAGGTAGATGCTAGCAGGTACTTGCTCAAATCAAACTTCTTTTCACACTTACATTTTTCAAACAAAGTTTTCAAAAAAAAAACAGCTTCGTAACACTCTTGAGGACAGAAACAAGGGTTAAAATGAAGTAAAACAAAACTTTTCAAAACAAACACATACAAGCAATTTTAAAAGATGAGCAAGTACCTAAGAGCCCATGGAAAACCATGGATAGAAAGGGTGCTAACACCTTCCCTTTCTATAATCTACCCCTCGTACTCAAAATCTCGAAAAAGGATTTTTTCTGTGCTTTTTTCCTTTTCATTTGGATAAAATAAAAGTAGGTGGCGACTCTTGCTTATCGCGACATTTTACAAATACAAAATGAAAAATGCAAACCAGCATTTCAAAAACAGTCGGTTCTGCCACCGTATCACAGAACTGGAGACTCTGCTGGGGATTAATAAGTGGGGTATACCTTAGGATCTAGTTCATCATAATTGCTTCTCTTGTTTGTTTTGGTTGCTTTACTTTTAAAGGGTTTTGTTTGGGAGTTACTATAGATCCTAACCTGGATCTGGGGACACCTTTTAAGTAAGTAGCAATAAACTGTGAGGGAACTGTACGGCGTAGACCGATACGGTTGAAGCAGTACACTACAAGAAAAATGATAGATTGGGACGGTTATTTTGGCTGATTACGACGGTTAAAACCGTCGCAATTTACAATCTACGACGGTAGAAGTACCGTCGCAGAATCGTGCGTCCCCAGCCTATTTCGCGACGGTTGCAAAACTGTCACACACAACAGATAGCGACGGTTATATACCGTCGTGAATTTGACTTTATTTTTTGTTTTTGTTGTTGTTTGCGACGGTTATTCTACCGCCGTAGGTTAGAAATTGCGGCGGTTTTAACCGTCGTAATCTGATTTATAAATTTCAAATAATATTTTTATTTAAATTATTATTTAGTAAAATAATTTTAAATATAATATTATTTTACTATAATATTTTACTATTATATTTAAATTATTATTTACTTTAATATTTTTTTATTTATAGTATTTTTATTTTATTTTCTATCACTTTTCAACATAATAAAGTTAATTACAATAAAAACATTTAATATCAAATAATCATCAATAATATCAAAAAAATGTGATCAAAGGTAAAAAGAAGTGCAAATTTTACCAATAAACAAGAAAAATTCAAATATCATCAAACTCCAATTGTATGAAAAGTTATAAGGTACAGAAAAATCAACTACAACAAAATCTCCAATAAAATAAAATTCACTTTCCGCTAAGGAGAAACCTAATCAAATTTGGATATGTATCAAGGCGTCTCAAGTTCTTTAGATATGTATGATACATAAATTGAGGACATTCTTCATATAGAAGCACGTCGACACACTTTTTCAATTCCTGATAAATATAGACGATAGAAATGTCTTCATTAGTGCTTGTAAATTCCTGGATTTTAGGAATCAGATTTAAACCTAGACCTTTCTCGACTAAGCTCATTGTGAGAGCTTCAAAAACTTGGTTGATGTCTACTTGCACCATCAGTCTTCTCTATGCCCTTGTGCGAGCTAAATCAATGCCTTCCATTACTCACCAAAGCTCAGCTACAACACTACTACATTTTCCATCACAGTAATCACACAAATTATCTGGAAGATTCAAGTGGTTTAGATATTGGTTGGTTTTGATTCCATTATGATATATCATCCACACAAAAACCCTTATTCTTTTAGTAACACTCAGATTCCAAATGCCTTTCCAATGATCCTCTATATCCTTGTTCTTGGTGGAGGTATTACAAGCATTATATCCAAAAACTTCCGACTGAACATGTTCCTTAAATGGCTTCAATTCCAATTTCCATCATCATTAATTAAGTCTGCAATTGTTGTATTCACATTATCTCCAATAGGCTAATTGATGAGATCTTGGAGTCTGGGGGTGCTACAGTAATCGGACCCTCCTCAATAATCTGTTCCAGATGATTGATTATGTCATTACCGAGATTCATTCCATCGTGACAATTTGGTGTAGTAACTAGTAACAGAAAATTTTCATACCTTTTGATGCCTTCGTTGAACACTGCAATCACGGCTGTGTAAAGCTGCAACATTTCCGTACTGATCACAAATCAGTTGGACTTCAAGATGCCGGCTCTATTTAGAAGCAAGAGAGACCGTCAGCGTATGATCAAAACTCCAAAAATCAAGCTCACTCAGATCAAAGTTCAGTGGTTTATCTAACCTGGGAAGCAACTTTCATTATAAATATAGGTGATCCCGGAACTTCACCTTGAACTTGCTTGAACAATGCCCTTACCTCATCATCATTATGAACCTAAAATATCCACATGCATGTTAGTTTCTTAACTTTTACCAAACAAAACACAAAAATATGATTGGCACAAGATTATCAGCATTGATCTATGTAAGCACCGATGCTTCAGATTTAACGTGTGCCCGATTTCCGATCACTTTCATGTTCTCAAATTATTACCGGTGTGAACATGTCAGTGTCAATGTCGTATGTTTGTGTCAGTGCTTCATAGGTAGATACTATACAATTTTCTACATGTTACAGAGTTGACCATAAGGAAGCAAACCTTTCTTATGCCTTTACCACCACCACCCCAAGACGCCTTGATCATTGCAGGGTATCCAACAACTTGACAATTTACTTCACAATGACACGAGATAATTTACTACACAATGATCTCAGGTCAACTAAAACACAAGCAGTAATAGACTCTCAAGGTTAGCACACATGTTAATGCATTGTAGCTAGCAATAAACATTAAACATTCAACCAAATTAATTAACTGCATTGGATTTGAACTAGAAAAGTAAAACTAAAAATTCAACAAAAATAATAAACTAATTGATGATATACATGTTGAGTTTGATTTGCAAGTAGGACAGCTAACTCTTCAGGGAGTATGAACCGGATCACTAGATAAATATGCAATATTTGTGGAGCTCATATTAGCTTCTTTAAATAAAATTGTAATCCTCCTTGGTTGTCATTGCTGCATATAAAAATAAAACACTCGATTAAAAAGAATATGAATAAGCATAATACAAAAATATAACATGAACAAAATTATAGAAACATCAAAATCATAACATGTAGTCAAACTAAGACTATTTTGTCTACTTTTTATAAGGTCTTTTTGTATGTCATATATACTTATAGAAATTAAGTCTGAACCATTGTGAAAATTTTAGACGTTAGGAAATGAAGTAAGATGTCTCATCAAAGTAAAGCTTGTTTATTCAACTAAGACCCCCAAAGAAGACTCAATTACGAGAAAGACATATAGTTCTAATTCAAGCCATCACAACCAAGAAAACAAACTAAAAATAACAATAATTCTAATTAAACCACATATATCACTTTCAGGACCTCAACTGTTGTCTGTTTTTTTACTGCTTATTAGTATTACTTTGGTATAGTCTAGAATGATCCTTAGTTAGCCAAGAACCTAAAACTCTTCAATTTTAACACAATATTTTTGCTCTAGCCTCGATGCTATCTTTCCAAATCGCATTAGCTGGGAAATCATGGAGAGTTTACTGAACATTTCTTGCAACTATGATGGCATGCATTTAATTAATCTTGGTTTTAATGTTTATATTATTGGTGTTAATAAATATGCAAGTAACAGACAATTTGTGTCCAGTAATAAAAATATAGTGACAGTTAACAAGGGTATGACATGGATGCACAGGGAGGGAGTGGCAGCATAAGTGCATAACTGCTTTGCCATTTACCATATAATAAATTGCATTAACAAAAGAAATGCTTAATTCCTATTCACTTTACAGTGATTATCTTGTGGAGATATAAGGATAGTGGTGGAATACAAACCATTGTTTATTACAGGATTGCACAGTTCTCTCTATGCAATTACTTTAGTGGTGGTGTAGTTGAAAACTCCCACATATATTGTGATAAACTACCATAGTCTCGTTTACCGGCAATTTCCTCAACACGGACTGCATCAGATATTTCCTTCAACTGTTGTTCTGTAAGCTTCACATTCAGAGATCCAATGTTGTTTTCAAAGTTTTTCATTTTAGTAGTCCCTGTGGTATCAAACAAATATATCATAAATCACTTGGTCAATTTTTCATTTTAGTAGTCCCTGTAGAAATCAATATATTTATTTATCCACTAGTCATAAAGAGTGTACATATCCTTTGAGAAGGTACAATTATGCTACATTGTAACAACATATTTGTGACAGAACCCAGAAAATATGAACATCGAGTACATATCCTTTCAGTAATTCTAATTTTTTATGATTGAATGGAAGAGAGAAATGAAGTACACTACAATGGGAGAAAAACTTTACATGTGAACCACTCCATGGAAGGGTTGGCACATTGGCTGCTTGAGCGATCAACGATGAACCAATTTTATCTCCCAATGCCCCCATAGATACTGCAGGAGGCCCAAGAAATACAATTCCTTTTGCTTTTAATGCATCTGGTAGCTCAGGATTCTCTGATGCATGACCCCAACCAGGCCATACCGCATCAACATGAGTTATCTCGGCAATCTGGAAAACACATTGCATTGCCGTCAGCAAAATTAACAAGTTATGCAGATCAAAATAATCACAATTACATAAGCACTGAAATCATTTAAATGACAAGAATAAATAAGCTGCAGTAATCTCATGAAGTCGACATCACATACCTCTAGAATAAGCTGCACATTGGCGTAGTTATTATTATAAGAAATTGCATCTGGAGGACAGCCCACTTCACCAATATTTAAACCCCCTCTTAACAAACCAGAAACTTTTAAGATCAAAGTTCTATCGGAAATTTCATCAAACACCTTAGATGCATCATACAAAATTGTAACATTGTTTCCAATCACAATCACAGTTGCTTCACCAATAACAACATCAGTAGCAGTTACTAAAGAGATTATAATAGATTTAGAAACAACAACACCAGTAATCCTCCTTGCAGTTGCTTGAGATTCTTTGATTCTTCCAACTTTTCTGGATGAGTGGAATATAGAGGCAACAACTCTTGTTGAATTGCTACTATCAATTGAATGCAAGAACTTGTCTTTGGAAAGTGTTGGCGCCGATGCAATGATGGAGCTGAATACTCCGGATTCCCTCAAACTTTGTATTATGACCTGGAGACAAGATCATCAAGAAATGTATAATATGTAGAAATAGATATAGCAACACCTCTATCTCTAGCACACTGTTGTCAATAGCAGATCACAGATTAGCAGTTTGTCCAAATTCCACAATACCGCACTGCTATAGCGCAAGCGCTGTTATGTCTGCTATTTGACAATATTTTGCATTAGATAATCGCAGAACAATAGCGATTTGTTTAAATACAGCTATGTTATAGCTCTATAACGCTCCTATAACCAATCCTACTTAAGATCTCGTGCTTGACTACATTGATTGGAACAACTTTAACTAACTTATCACTGACCGTGGGAGCGTATATGCGGGTCAATATTCCTTTCCTCAACAGTTTTATCTTCAACTCTTTATCACCCCACACAACATGCTCATTATACCTGGAACAAGAAAAAAGATCAAATGTTTCTCGAAGATCGATAAAATAATGGTTAAATTATGTAGGAGAGTATAAATGAATATAAATTGAAGGTAGCATACCACTTCAACATTTCTTCTTCAGTTGCTGTTGAAGCAATGATGAATGCCTGAAATTGATAATAAGGTCTACTTAGCATAAATGAAAGCAATGATAAATACCTAGAATCGAAAAACTGAAAAACTGAAACTTACAGATCTGTCAAATTCCAACATGAAGCATCTTTTGACATCTTCTTTGGTAGGTTTGCAACCACAACGATCACGTCTAGAAGTTAAATCAGAGAATTTGGCGTATGTGTAATGTAAAACAGCAGCTAAAAACAACCGGCTCCTTCTCCATCAACCTCAGTATCTCACCAACTCCACTTCGATCCTTTCTTATTGTAAGTAAACACAGTCGGTTTCACAATGCTTTTAGTGACCATCTCATCCATCAACTCCTTAGCTTTCTCAACCTCTCCTCTCTTACACAAGCCATCAATCACAAGTGTCAAAGACTGAACCCTAATTTCAATTCCATTAGACTCAACCATCCGGCGGAAGAATCTAAGACACAACTCAATCTCACCACATCTCTTCAAAGCAAGCAAAAGCACAAAACAAGACCTCTCCTCTATCACGAACCCCTTTTCCTCCACATAATCAAAAACCCTAACCGCCTCTGGAAATAACCTATTATCAGAACAAACCCTAAACAACATATCACAAAGCTTGTCAACAAAATGAAACTCAAATTCATCAAGCAAATCAACGATCCCCGAAACTGGGGAGCGAAATTGGGAATCAGTAACAACGGAATTCAGAATAGTCTTGATGGTGGCGAATTTGCGAGCTTTAAAGAGTCTAGAAAAGAGAATCAAATGGGCCTTGAGGTCAGGTTTGAGTGAATGGTTGGAATGATGGGTTTTGAGGAAGTGGAAAAAGGATAAACAGGAATGCGGTTGGAGAATAGGGTCTGAAAGAACACGGTAAGTAACATGGGGGGTGAAGGTGATGCAGGAAATGATGGAGTGAAGTTCGGTGTTATTGGGTTTGAAATAGTTGGGTTTAAATTGCAGTAAAGGATTTAGGGGGACGACGGGTGTGGTTACCGTCGTGCCCTTTCATAACTTTTGCATGTTTTTTAAAGGTTTAGGGGGGCGACGGTTGTTTTACCGTCGTGATGTCTATTTTAGGACGGTTTCTTAACCGTCGCAACATTCATTTTAGGGCGGTAGGTGTATACCGTCGTGACATGGGTCCTTATATTAGAATTACGACGGTTATTAAGTAACTGTCGCAATTTTTGTGTCGTAAAATCCTAATTTTCTTGTAGTGGTAGCTATGTTGATGTGGAACATTGGTTGGTACTGGTATCCCTTATGGAGAAACGAGGAGAATACGGGGCCATTGTGTGTGTCGTTAAGCATCAACTGACCTTAGAACCTTTAATCGACCAACTTGGCCATTAGAAAGTAGTGAGATAGCCGGCCTCGATGTAAAGCTGAGAAATGGTTGATAATCAATTCTACACTCATTGAGACTATACTCTCGAGATAGTTTCGGCTGCAAGAAAAGATTGCGTGAGCTGAAACCATGATCGATGGAGGATGGTCAGTGATATTGAGAACCTCTAGAACCAGGTTACTTTTGCTAGGACAGGTTGAAACTAACTTAACTTCAAGAGGATAATACCTTTGACCCCATGCAAGCCTTAAACTTAAGGGCTTTTATGTGATTTGTTTGCCTTTGCCATGCCTGTTATCTGTTATACCTGTGTTTCTTTTATCATGACATCATACATCATAACATGGCATTCATACTTCATTACACTATCCATTTCAAAGACCAAGGGAATTTATCTTTGTTCTGTTTTGCAGATTATGGCTTCCGTGCACAGAAATACCATCCGAGTTAACTTTGTGCAAATACCTGCTCAACTTAAAGAGTTAGCCTCAAGAGTTTCTGATACTTCTATGTTCATTAAGAGACACGGTAAGCTTCTTAGCCTGGTCACTTCAAAGCTTGATGAGTAGATGATGAGTGTACTTTTCCAGTTCTCTGATCCTGTGCATCATTGCTTCACCTTTCCAGATTACCAGCTGGTTCCCACTTTGGAAGAGTTCTCTCACTTATTGGGCATATTCATCCTTGATCAGCTTCCCTTCACAGGTATGGAAGAGACTCCTAGACCAGAAGACATTGCCTCAGCTTTGCATCTGAAACGGGCTGATGTAGTATCCAATTGGGAAACACGAAGAGGGGTCAAAGGCTTCTTAGCCAAATTTCTGATATATTAGGCTCAACTATTCTGGGATAGTTTGGATTTTCAGGCTTTTGAAGACATCTTGGCTCTCCTTATCTATGGGTTGGTCCTCTTCCCGAATCCAGATTCCTTTATAGATGTGAGTGCGGTTAAGATTTTCCTTTCTCGCAATCCTGGGCCTACTCTACTGGGTGATATCTTGCATGCCCTCTACACTCGTACTGTGAAAAGAAGAGTAACTCTTATGTGTTGCATGTCATTGTTGTCGAGGTGGTTTATTTTGCACCTCCCTAAATTTGTGCTGAAGAACGAAGAAGGTTTGGGATGGTCTTAAAGAATAATGTCACTTGCCCATACAGACATTCTTTGGTGTTCCCGAGCTAGGGAAGACACTGATATCATTGATCATTATGGGGGATACCCTAATGTCCCATTACTTGGAATCAGAGGGGGAATAACCTACAATCTTTGTCTAGCTTTGCGACAATTTGGTCGTGCTCGGAGAGATGGTTCCCATGAGCTACGTCTTGAGAATATTGCATTTGACTACAAGGAAGACGTTGGCGAGAACCGCTGGAGGTTTATACGAGCTTGGGGAATGGTGAACAGATCCGACCCCCAAGAGTTGGGACCAAGGACTTCCCTTCCTATGCAGCCTTACCTCCAATGGGTCCGAGCTCGTGCCCAGAAACTTGGGATGCCTTATGAAGCCGTATTTCCAGTGATTGTAGAGCCCGCTAATGAAGAAGGCGTTCCTTACACAATTCTTTATCCTTACATGCCCACTGATCCTGGGGCATTGCAGAGGTCTTGGATTCAGCTGAAAGAGGAGAGGGATACTTACCGGGAAAAGTACCATGGGCAAGAAAGGAAGAGTTTGAAGCTCACCAGGAAGCTCGAGGAAGAAAGAGTGATCAATGACTACATCAGCACCAATAGGAAGCGTCCATGGGACTTTTGATTTTGCTTTTCTAGTTTTAGATTTGTTTTCCATTTATTTCTTTGTAACTCCTCAAAATCATTGTTGAACCTTTTACAAGTTAATCTAATAAAGTTTGTTTATTTTTTGTTTTGCAAATTTAAATTTCCCGGGGTCTTTGAAATCATTACATGCGCATCCCATTATCATGCACACCATTACAGGTACCATTACAGGTTTCTCATCTTCTTCGATGTTTATTTCAGCAGAAATGTCTTCTGATCAAGCCATCAAAGATCTTCAAGCACAGAACGCCCAATTCCAGCAAATGTTCTTAAGTCTGGCTAAAGGGCAAGAGGATTTGAAGACCCTGATTCTGAAAGAGAAGAAGAAGAAGGTTGGTATTCTGAACATGGGTAAAAGATTCGGAGAAAGGATAAGACAATCAGCTGATCTGACCTCCTCATACAAGGACGGGGAGAACCAAGAAAGGGTAAAGGACTCTAGTCCTGCAGTTTCTGGTAATGATACAGATTATGATGATGAACAATATCCTCCTGTTGAGGATAGGTACAAGCAGCTAGAATACCGTCTGAGTGCTATGGAGATTCAGAAGATCCCTGGTTTGGATTTTGGAGAACTGGGATTGGTATCGAGAGTGGTGATCCCTCATAAGTTCAAAGCTCTGGTTTTTGCCAAGTACGATGGAGTATCCTGTCCAAAACTCCATCTCCGCTCGTACGTCAGAAAAATCCAACCTCACACTGCTGATAGAAATTTATGGGTACACTTCTTTCAAGATAGTCTGTCAAGGACTCAACTTGAATGGTTTTATCAGTTGGAAGGAGCCAATGTCTGAAACTGGGAAGACTTAGCTGCTGCTTTTTACAGGCAATATCAGCATAACACCGACCTTGCTCCCACTCGTACTCAGCTTCAGGGTATGTCTATGGGTGCAAGTGAAGGTTTTAAGGACTATGCTCAAAAGTGGAGAGACTTGGCTGGAAGAGTCTAACCCCCTTTGTCTGATAGGGAAATGGTTGACATGTTTCTAGGGACGCTATCTGGTCCATTTTTCAATCATCTGATCGGAAGTTCATCATCTGGGTTTACTGATTTGATTTTGACTTGAGAAAGAGTAGAAGTTGTCATTCGAAGTGGTAAAATACAAAAGGATACTTCATCAAGTGCAGTAAAGAAGCCTTTCACCGGTAAGAAAGAAGCTAGTGCAGTCTATGGCCCGAGGGGCCAAAGCAGACCTGGACACCATGAAGCAGTAAATGCGGTAGTGATATCAAGACCCATAGTTGCTCCATAATGTAACAATCAACAAATGGGGGAAAGACCATAGAGGAAGTTCACTTGGCTCAATATGACCCTGACTCAAATTCTACCACAATTATTGAAGACCAACCTGGTAACTCTGAGGGAGGCCCCAAAAAACCCAAACACCACATCTCCCCACTATAACCCGGATGCCCGTTGTGCCTATCACTCTGAAAGTCCAGGTCATGATACAAACAATTGTTGGGCCTTTAAGAATAAGGTGCAAGACTTGATCGAAGCCAAGGAGATTAAGTTTGACGCTCCGGAGAAGCCCAGCGTCATAACTGCTCCCATGCCCAAACATGGTCATGGAGTAAATGTTGTGGACGATGATTTATTTGTGACTTCTGTGGAAGAAATTTCTACTCCTCTGATGACAGTAAAGAAGGATTTTCTATTGGCCGGTTTATTTCCGGGTTGTGGTGAAGGTTGCCACATGTGCTCAATTCTGCCTGCTGGTTGCCACTTATTGAAATCGGGTGTTCAACGCCTGATGGATAATAAAGACATCCTGTTCTAAAAATCTATGATTCTATTAGTTCCAATTGAAGATGTTGCCATCATAACCATTTCCTCCAATCCTTCCAAGTTTTCCTCGAGAAAACCTGTTAGGATTACACCCGTCCCAAGAATTGCTCCGTTAATAATTACTATCCCTGGTCCTATCCCATACACTTCGGATAAAGCTGTCCCTTGGCACTATGGTGCTGATGTGTATTACCATGGAGTTAAACAAGACTTAAAGAGTGAGGAAGCTGATGTTGATATCAGCAATATTGTTGGGGCTAGCAAGGTCACCAGAAGTGGAAGACTCTTTTCTCCCGAGATTTCCCCTCTGACTGTTCACAAACCTGTTGTCATTCCATTCGCTAGTACATCAGCTACTATCCCAGTTCCTATTCCAGTTATTACCCCTGTCGCAAAGCCATCTGGGGCTCGGGGCAAAGAAATCACAGATGAGCCTGCCCGGATGGAAGCACCTACGAAGATCATTGTAGAAACCTCGAAACAAGAGATATAAGAGATTTTGAGGATTATCAAGAAGAGCGATTACAACATAATCGAGCAGCTGGGGCAGACCCCATCAAAAATCTCCATGTTGTCCTTGTTGTTGTGTTCTGAAGCCCATGCAAAGGCTTTAATTCCATTCCTCAAAATTGTGCATGTGCCGTAGGACACTTCAGCCGATCAATTCAAAGATTGCGTAGCTA